AACAGTAAGTGACATTCAAAATCAAGACAAACTAACACAAATCACACAAAAGTGCCAAGTTAAGATCCTAGGTGAAAGGCCAGGGAAAATAAATAGGGTTTTAAACAGCTTTTAAACATTGGTAAGGTGGATGACAACCTGATATGAAGGGGAAGGTTGTTCCAGAGCTTAGGGGCAGCAACGGAGAAGGACCGGTCGGCCCGGGTCGTCATTTTATTTTCGGAACAACTAAAAGCTGTTGGCCGAGAGACCTTAGTGAGCGAGGTGGGGTAAAGGGCTGCAGCAGGTCAGACAGAGAGACCGGGGCGGCGCCATTTAAACGTTCTGTACTCTACAGGTAGCCAGTGAAGAGATTTTAAGATCGGTGAAATGTGTTCACGCCTGCGTGTACCAGTTAAAAGTCTTGCTGAGTATGCACACATCCAACGTGAAACAGTTAATACACAGGTAATATGCACTTAGATGAATCAAAATTAATATTCTTTATGAAGTATTTTACATGAGCACAAATTATATAGAGCTGGAATTTCATTTTTCTGATGGGTTTTAAATTGTTTTTCTTTGGGCAAAATGCTTAATAATTTTGTGAAAATGAAAAGGTCATTTTCAGACACAATAGTAGAACTAATATCAGTAACTTGAGATTGAACTAAAGATGGGTCAGGTTTGACCAGTTGATCCGTTTGTGTTCACATGACGAGGCCTTTCTGAAATGCTGATTGTCACTGTTAGAAAAAAAAGGAAACATGGATGCCGTCAAATTACAGTAAATAAAAGTTACATTTAATAAACTGTAAAAATGTAGCACAGGTCGAAATGAATTAAATTACATTGTTACAAATTTAAACTGTGGGAAAACGCATTTAAAACTACCTTTGAGGTTAATCTCTTTAAATTTAGGGCATTTATTATGAAACAGACAGTTTATTAATAGTAATTTCTTTCTTTCATGTACAATAACTATGAAATAATGTAAAGGAAGTTATAGTTAAAGTAAGAGATTCTTTCTTTTTCAAGAAAGTCTATGTAATGGGAACAGTGATTAAAAACTGTAAATATAGAAGTGTGTGTGTGTGTGTGTGTGTGGGTGGTATTGATTGAAATGCTGTCTTGGGCTAAAAGTTATTGTGGGGGGGTCTTAAACATCCCTAATTAGAATATTTCATACATTGTGATATAACTAAGTGTATAACACTGGATATATATATATATATATATATATATATATACATCAAAAATAATATAAAAATACGATCAAGCTCAAGACCGTTTATTATACAGATTTCTTTATAATCCTGCACACCAATTCTATTGATTGTGTCTTTTCTAAACAACGTGATGGCGAGCGTGCAGCCTGGCTGCAATTCAGAGAGTTCAGATAAGTGCGAGCAGCAGGGAATCTAAAGCCCAAACTGCACGCGTCTTTACTCGGACTCCGCCATGTGTTCAAGTCTTGCTTTCGGCCTCAACGATCCATCATCCAGCAAGATGTTCTGAGTTCTGCTTTTGGTCATCTTAAGAAGATCTCAGGCGCCCGTGTGATCAAAGCTTACCCACAATGTGTCTGAAAGAATCTTTACAGAAGAAGAAACAAACCAATATTCTGATGTGATGTATTTCTTTCTGAATTGCGAAAGTGCGAAACTGCAGCCATTTATAAAACTTTAAGATTTACCTCAAATACATGAAACAATACTTTTACATTCAGACTTTTTAATGAAAGTAATTCATCTTAACATTAGATTTCTTGATTTCTATAGTAATCTATAGTCAAATATATATATTTGGTATTTATTTGTATTATTTTGGGGAAAGAATTACGTTTAAGTATATCATTATTCTTCGTTCCTCTATAATCGGTTTGTTGCTCTCTCCGTGTTTCTGGAAATAGAGAAGTAAATGATGCAATACTCACATGGCAACTTAAACATCCAATTTCTGAGCTTTCGCGAATTTTGGGATTCTTAATTGTCACCAATAAGACTCTATTTATTTCTTTGTAACTTTGAATTCTTTGTTTTTACATAAGTAAAGGCAACGCTTTATTTCTTTCTATTCTTACTTATTCTCTTCATAATATATCTTCCAAATGTAGACACTGAATGATCCAGTCTGATTGGTTGCTAATTCAAAGGGGACTATGATGGACTACCTTTCAACCAGTAGTCTCTCCAATCATCCAAATATTCTCTGGAGTGCCAATAAAGGGCTTCATATAATGTTTTTATTATATCTACACATTTATACTGTTATTCTTACAGTAATGAATAATGAGCATTTATGATACTCAGTAGAGTAACTATATGTTTAAAATGTCAGAAAGTACTCAAAATCATGAAAAGTGAAAGCATCCATATCATATAAATAAATAAGATAATAATCACAATAAACGGGCTAAATAAATTGGTTTGGTCCGATACTAACTGGTTTCTGACAAATTATGCAAAACTTGAAGTTAACACACAAAAAAGCATTCACAAGCCTCCTGTTTTGATTCTGTGGAGTTTATTTGTATGTTTGTTTTAGTTGCAACATTTCTCAGGACCATTTTTATACAAACAACCTGTAATGGGTAAGTACGAGGAAACATTGTTGCATTATTGAAGAAGGCATCATGAATCCCAGCAGATGCACATCCTTGCCATAAGGCTTATCCTTTTATTATTGAACAGGAAGCCTGAGTACAGGCAGTCAATACGGCTGAGTGTAGCCCGTGTATTATCTGAAACCGATCACGCAATGTGTCACTCGGTGTGTTGCTCGCGTGTCTTACATTTTGGGAAAACCATATTTGATTTTTTTCGAAGTCTTACTTTAATGATTTTTATTTATTTATTTTTTTTAAGATTTCAGTATAAAAACTACAAAATCTCAATTTATTTCAAGAATATAAGACTTAACATTCATTTTTGTTGTCATTGTTTTTTATCTTATTATTAAAAATAATTGAATTAATTATAGCACATACATTTAGATTTTATTATATGCATTTTACGAACACTATCAGAAAACGAAATTATAGCTTATTCCCCGATTTGATTTGCCCATAAATCTAAATAAAGTTAGTTTTTATTTTAGTTATTTTAATGAATGTTATTGATGGTTATTTATTCTCAGTGAGTCATGCATCAAAATACTGTAACGAGTGTTTCTTATTTGCATTCTGTCCATTAGCCGTACGATAGGGGCTAAAGGAATGTTGGTGTCAATGGTTAAAACTCAGTGTGTAAACGTAAAACTTCTTAACATCTTGGTTGAAGTAATTATATGTCACTGACCTACAAAGTACCCATATGATAAGTGAGGGGTTAAAAGTTAAAGGTTAAATGGTTCAGCAAGGCATTATATTAAGGAGAACTAACAATGTATACAGATATGACAACCCTCTTAAAAAGGCTTTTAAACTAAAGTTGAACTTTTAGCTTTTTTTATAGTTGTTTTCCAGTCGTGTTATTAGATGTAGGTGCAACTTGCAAGGTCTTAATCTGTGACAATGCCTCTGTCTGTCACACATTGAGGATTTGTGGAGTGTAAGATTAGAGCTCTACGTCGTCATAAAGCTCTGCTTCCCAATTCGGCCGTGTGGTGGCAGGTGGGGCAGTTGCGAGGTGTAGTCTGTGGATTCGGTGTCTACACAGCATCAACCTCTATGAAGTTTTTTTCATCCAGACCAGGAAACTTGTAATTGTCACATTCGCATGGCTTGATACTCTTTTTCTTTTTTTTTCTTTTTTTGGACCAGATTTTAACTTTTTAATAACCTGCTAAGATTTTTCTTCTTGGAGAACGAAGAGTTCCCCCATAACTTTTTATGGTGCTCTGCTGTGGCTCTTTCTACGATGAATTACTGCATACCAGACATGTATGAGATGCCTCACTCGGGGATGGGAGGCTACACGGTGCAGGGTGGTGGGGAACACTGCATGTACTCGGGCGAGGTACCCGGGTACGGACACTGTGAGCCCCAGCCTCTGCACCATCCACCTTGCATTGACCAACAGGCTTGGCCGCCCAGCCAGCACTACTCTTGCTCATACGCGGGTGGCTCTCCTGTATTTAAGAGCGAGTTTTGCAGCATGGAGATCCCCCTTAGTCATTTCCACCATCAGCCTGAATATTTCCCTGAGATCAAATCTGATTTCTCACACCTGCAGTGGATGCAGGAGGTGCACAAGAAAGGTACGACGTCCGGATTGGGATTGTTCACATTTTTGGTATTGACTAATGAAATTGTTTTGTTTTGTGGTTGTGGCTCTGGATTGTGTGTAAAGAATATTTTTTTTGGGAACATTTTTGGTAATTAGTGCTAACCCGTCCTTGATCAATGAATAAATGATGTCTGGGTTTTTTTTTTTTTTCAAATTAAGTCTGACGAGCGCAAATCCAAGACTTAAGGCATCATGCGGCGGCAAGTCTTTGAGCGGGACTCGGTGCATCTGATGCTCAGAGTGTTTGACTGAGGCGGGCGGGGTTCCTTATTGATTAATGGTGAGGCAACAGAAGGCTGATGCGAGATTCTTAGCAAACCCCAAAAGGATATTGATCAATTTATCTCCGGTCATTGAGTCTGCCAGACGTCAAAGCATTGATCTCATTAGGCCGAATGCCCAATCTTAAAACTGGACGAGGTGTTAACTCGGTTGGTTAAAAGTGCTGTCTAAGGAAATCTGTGCTGATCACATGTAAGGTCCATCCGACATGTAAGGTCGGATGGACTTACAAGGTGTCGGCCTACTTTTAAATCTTCATGTGTGACTTTTCGAAACCACATTATTACGCACCTGCATGTTACAAATGGAAACAGAGGAACAGTTGATATACTGTGTAGATAGCTTTTTAGCCTTTTATTTGAACCACATTTATTTGTGCAATTTCATTTTGACTTTTTTTTTTTACAAGAAAAGGAAGAAAGAAGCAAAACAAGTTGGAAAAAAAAATACATTTGAAATGTTTTTCTCCCCCAAGAAAATCTGATATTAACCATTTGCTCTTCTCTCCAGGGTACATTCCAAGCTACCTAGACAAGGATGAGCTATGTGTAGTGTGCGGGGACAAAGCCACGGGCTATCACTATCGCTGCATTACCTGTGAAGGTTGCAAGGTAACACAAACGACTCTTGATTGTTTGCAGCTAATTCGGAGGATTTTTTTGTTTTCAAGGCATTTCTGAGCATGTGCCTGTCTGCTCTACAGGGTTTCTTCAGGCGGACGATCCAGAAGAATCTCAACCCGACCTACGCTTGTAAGTACGAGGGGAAATGCGTCATAGACAAAGTGACCAGAAACCAGTGCCAGGAATGTCGCTTCAAGAAGTGCATCATTGTGGGAATGGCCACCGACTGTAAGTCCGAGATATCTTCATGTTGTGTCTGCGTCTTGTTCTGTTTGTTTGTTTCTGTTGATGTGTTTAATGTATCAACTGGGCCAGAGACCACAGAGAATTTGCCATTGTGGTTTTTTTTTTTGGTCAGAATTTGGCACCCAAAAAACAATATTGTTTCAATTTTATTTTGATTAATAATTTCTTTTGAATATTCGCTGGCTCCAGCTTGTCGAACAATGGTTTTCTCTGGTATGTATGACAGTGAACTGCTCATCTTTGAGCTGTTATCCAGATGAATCAGGGAGAGGGGGAACTGTGTTGGGCTATTATCACAACTTGCTGACATTTTATAGACAAAATCATTAACTGGTCAATTTAGAGATTAATTGGCAGATGAATCAATGATAAAAATAGTAATAGTTGCAACCCTAGTGTAAAACGGTGGAGAGGGGCGTTGTGCTATAGTAGTGGTTTAAGCAGTTTCTATGGGCATTCTGCCACTTTCTTTACCATAAAAACCTTTGGAATACCATTGGAACCCTTAGTAAATTAAATGAAATTAAGTCAACCAGACTACACTCACTGATTATTAATGACTTCTCTTAAAGAGTACCATGTCGAATGTAATTTTCTAGCGTTTGTTAGTTAATCTCTGCCTGTTTAGGGATTTTAATCTAAGCAACATTGCCCTGTATTTTCAACTACGTCACAAAAAAATCATTCCGTGCTTTTTCCCCCTTCTCCTCCTCCTCCTGATTCCCATCCACTCTAACTGTCTTCCCCCAGTGGTGTTGGACGACGGCAAAAGGCTAGCCAAGCGGAAGCTAATCGAGGAGAACCGGGAGCGTCGTCGGAAGGACGAACGGCAGAAGACGGTGTTGGACCGACAGGAGCCCACCCAGGAGGAGTGGGACCTCATCCGTATGGTGACTGAGGCCCATATGGCCACGAACGCGCAGGGTAACCACTGGAAGCAGAAGCGGAAATTTCTGGTGAGACACCCTCCTCCTCACTCCCTCCCTCCTCACCACAGCCTTCATTGTATTGATTACCTTGCCTTAGCCAAACCACCCCTCTCCCCTGACCTCCCCCTCCCACCCTTCACAGATCCCCCCGTCTCCTCCACTTCCACCACAGCCACTGTTCCCTGTGTTAATATATCCGTGTGTTTTTTTTGTATCTCCTTGTAGAGTGGGGACAATTAGCTGGACGATGGAGAAAAAGTGTGTTCCTCAACGCAACAGCGCTAATTTATAATGGAGCATCTTATCGTCTCTCTTTTGCGTCTTACAAAGCAATGATCCTTAATCGCAAATACTAATAACTTGCTTTTTTTGTGCCGTTTCATTTTTCTCTCTTTCTGTTTGTAGCTTTTGATTTCAGACCTCAACCCTTTTTTGACTAATTTTCTCTTTTCCTTTCTGTAAAGTCTTATTTTCTCTCCAGATTGAAAGTCCATCTCAACTGTTGACTTAATCTGGGTTTCTATGGCAGGATCAGAAAGAGCACTCGTTAAAGCATAACATTGAATTGAAATGTTTTTGGTGTAGTCGCAGTTTTTTGTGAAGGGGTGGGACGTTTTTATACAAGGATCTCATTTGACGAGGAATTTGCGAAATATTATGGCATTTTGACAGTACTAGGGAAATAACATGATTGTAACTTTACGGATAAGTCGCTTTATATGCGTCACGTAACGCGAATATAGCAGAGTATGTTTCACTTCTGCACTTTCATCACGTTAGCTTGTTGTTGTTTTTTACCCAAACTCTACTGTAAAGTAGTGTTAAAAATATATTCATTTGGAAATGTTTTTTAAAAGTTCGGTTGATTGAAGTCATACACGCACGTCGTCCGTTATTAAGAATGAATTTCTGTGTAGTCGAGTGCTTCTGAGGACCTGTCTGAAGTCGTGGTCCTGAGCCTGAATCTTGCCATAGAAACCCATCTTGGATTTCTGTCTTCACATTGTTCTCTATCTGCACACTCTGTCATCTGTCAGTTTTAACGTGTTTTCTTTTTAGTTGGCTTGACTCGGGTTCTTCATTGAAACTTCACAATTCCTGTTGATTATCCAACAGGTCGAGGAAGCTATGCTTCTTAATGAAATAACATGTAATTTATTCTATACTTCTGACCAGAGTGCAGCGGGGGTGAAGGAAACTAAGGTACGGACACAAATATTTATTGAAATTAATATACTGCCTTTCAACATGTTTACATGCATAAGACATTGAATTATGTGCATTGGATATATGAGTGTGAAATCTCTGTAGTGATGCGTCCCCGTTCACATCTTTACATCGTATTGGTCAGGCAAAATATTGTAAACTAAATCAAACCACTTTACTCACTTTCAAGTTCTTCCATTATCGTATTTGACTTTACACTCGTCATCGTAACCTTGAATTGTTTATTCGTAATGCTAAGATCAATGCTGTTCTCAATAGTATAAATGTTTCTACATGCTGTTTTATTTTATCATGCTGTTAAGACGCTGACCGTCTCTCTTTGTTCTTTTAGCCCGAGGATATTGGTCAAGCGTCCATGGTCAATACACCTGAAGGAAACAAAGTGGATATAGAAGCCTTCAGTCAGTTTACAAAAATTATCACCCCTGCCATAACCCGAGTGGTGGACTTTGCCAAAAAACTGCCAATGTTTTGTGAGGTAAGTGCAGCAGCTTATTTGATAAAGTTTCATGTAGATAAAGCAGGAAGAGGTCATAATGCTCCTTCTGGTTGCAGCAGCAGCAGCGCAGGTCGAGCTGTTGACACGCTACGGTGGATTTACAGTAAAGCCACCCTTGTCCTTGGGCCAGTATTGGCTTATCTAAGATATTTTGGGAAGTCAATAACATGAGATTTTAAAAATGTCTATTTCCTAAAATGTCAAGTATCATCAGGCCTCAAAATAATCATTTTATAATAAATGTTTAGCACTTTTTAGGGCAGAGCATAAAAGATTTGTGCTCACTTATAGCGTACGTACGTAAGGTCTTAATCAGTGACGTGCGTATAGCTTAATTGAACGGTATTTCAGCCTGAATTTTCTGCTGTTTTTAAAGTGCACACCATCACTAGATTATCCATATTCTTCTCCTTTACTTATCTCTTTCTCCTTATTGTCAGCTGCCTTGTGAAGACCAGATCGTCCTGTTAAAAGGCTGCTGCATGGAGATCATGTCACTGCGAGCTGCTGTTCGCTATGATCCGGAGAGTGAGACCCTCACGCTCAACGGCGAGATGGCAGTCACGAGGGGTCAGCTTAAGAACGGAGGACTGGGCGTAGTATCGGATGCCATCTTTGACCTTGGCGTGTCGCTGTCCTCCTTCAACTTGGATGACTCGGAGGTTGCCCTTCTACAGGCTGTCATCCTGCTTTCATCTGGTAAGCAGCTGATGTCCGGATTATTGTTACACATGCATGCATGAGCAAATTAGTTATGCCTTATTTCATCCCTTTGACATATTTTTTACAGAACTTTCCAAAGCAAAGCCATTATGACAGAAAAAAACGGTGCATTTTAGAAACCAGTAAAGCAATAGTTTGTTGTAGGATTGCACGCACAAAAAGAAAAACGATCACAAAGCTCACTTCTCCTGCTGTTTCAAAATCCATGTTATTTCCTTAGTAATGCTTTATTCCCTCCTGCACAGATTGCGTGAACCATTTTTTTGACATTAAATCCATACCAAAACCACAGTTCAATCAATTCATCACCATAATCATTCTGAGGAGCTTTGTCAAGCTGGCTTGGTTTTAGACTCCACCACCATTTCTCTGTGTGACGCTCTGCATCTCATTGAAGATCAATACTGCTGTGTGTTGTACATGTAGACATGACATGGGGTAAACTGGCCCATCTGTCTTCACTTCTTGCACACTTACTGTAACCACTAGGGTTTAATCAATACAATGTACAACGCTAAATGGCTGAAAGCAATCAATTTGGATTGGAAGTTTATACTTGGAGCTATAATTACTATTTTTTAAGTTGACATTGTTTTGGGGTTTAAAAAGTACAGTGGTTTGCCATTTATGGCAGAAAATGAATCATTCCATTTAATGTCAGACATAGGCCCAGTTTAAGTTTAGGATGTAGAGTTACAAAAACAGCCACAAGGGGGTTCAGTGAGCCACCTCAACCAATGCAAACTGCACCTGTGATGTCAGGATAGTATTAAATTTAGAGTATATAGAGATAGTATCTACCGATCAACCAAGGTACCCAAGTATTACAAACCCACCAAGTGAATTAATGATTAAGAACACAGAGTTTCAATATCTACTTGACTCTGTATCGTAACTAAGTACAAATCATGTCACACATTTTGTGAATTTGTATTCCGCTGCAGAAGAACTGAATAAATGGATGCAACAGCTGTAAGGGTCCATGTGGTGGAAAAAAATCTTTTTAACCTCTCTGTGAGAAATAATCACGATGGAACTTGTTAAAGTATTAAAAACATATTTAATGAACAGACACTTCAATCATAATTCAGCTGAATGGATAGAGCTCTTTCCCCACGGATGGTTCGGAGGTCTAACAATAATGAAAAAACAAAACGGAGTATATATGCGCGTTATCCCGTCTCCTCTCCCTTCACCCTCCCCCTCGCAGATGTTGTTGGCCGTTGCACCCACCAAGGCCAGGTTCCCAGCCTTTTCGTGGGAAGAGGGTTAGGGTGGTATATGCAGGTTTAAGCGATACAAGTTATAACTAAAAGAACCATATGATAAATTTCCACCACAGTCCACATACTAAAGACTTTTGTGCATCAAAGTTTACCAGAGTTGACACAAAAGCACATTGTGGATTTATTTTGCTGCTGTGAAAGAATCAGAGGATGGCAATCATTGATTACATTCATATGAATGAAACCGGGTGAGAAATTCTGCAAAGAATCCGAGCTTTTCAAGGTAATTATGGTTTATCAGAATTTGGGATTCTTTGTTGTTTTTTTTTTAGCTGTGGCCATAATTTCTCTCAGTTATAACTGTACTCACTGCCACAATTGCTGATGTTTGGGAAAACAGTGACCTAGTAACAGCAAAGTCAGACGAACAGACATGCTGTAAACAAACCAACAGATTGTCTAAACCACTTTGGTTGGCGGTCAAACTGAAAGTGAGTGCACCTGAGACGTTGTATATAATTGCACAGGAAAACTGCGCGTGCACATCTGTGGTAAGTATGGTGCATGAAACAGGAAGTGTTATAGGCAGTCTGTAAACAGCGATTGATGTTCACAACAGACTTTTTGGGCGATTGATTTACTATTAACCTTAATTTTGTCTTTCAAATATGTTTGGGGGGGGGGATTTTATTGTTTGTTTTTCCATCCTGCGTCAACCTGGCTGCTTGTGTTCCTTGCCCCGTTTGACTAACCATGATGAGCAATGTAGCTGCATTCTCAGCCAAACAATTAACTTGGTACCATGTTATTATCACTGATTGCAATAGTGGTCTTACCTAAGACAAATAAGATCCAAGTTGCCACAATTATTCTTTAACCCTGGAAAGACACGTCTTCAGATAATAATGTAAACAATTCCACGATAGTCCAATTCATTTGATAGAGGAAACAAAGAGTACAATTATTACTCAAACTGTATGTTGTAAGCATTCATTATAGTTTACAGACTTGCCTCTCGGTTCAACTCTGACCCACGTGTGCTCAGAGATCTCCGCAGAGATTATTCTCACATATACTCTCTGCTTTAAAATCCTGCAGCACACCAACTGATAACGTCAACGTCTCTTTGTCATCAGATCGGTCGGGCCTGAGTAGCGTGGAGCGAATAGAACGCTGCCAGGAAGAGTTCCTGCTGGCCTTTGAACATTACATCAACTACCGCAAACACAAAGTGGCGCATTTCTGGCCCAAGCTGCTAATGAAGGTGACGGACCTGCGGATGATCGGCGCCTGCCATGCCAGCCGATTCCTTCACATGAAAGTGGAGTGTCCCACCGAGCTATTCCCTCCTCTCTTCCTGGAGGTCTTCGAGGACTGACCAATGGATTTTAGTATGCGTGTGTGCGTGCGTGTGTGTGTGTGTGTGTGTGTGTGTGTGTGTGTGTGTATGTGCGTGCATACGTCAGCGCCTGGGCACCCTGGTGGTCTCGGAAGGAACCAGCCGGAGGCCCGTCACAATGAACTTTCTATTAGCACTACTGAGTGTCACTTCATTCCATAGTTTAGGAGTAGCTCTCTGGTGTAGTTTTGGATGGAACCATTCCTTACAGTGCGGGTACATGTGAATAGCATTTTGTTCTTTTATTTTGGTTTGTTTTGTTGTTGTTATTGTTGTGGATATAACCTCTCACCTCGGATTTTATTATATATTTTTTTGATGATTGTACAGTTGGCATAATGGTGATTTTATCAACACTTGCTCATTCATTAGAAACCATGAAAATGTTGTATTTTCCTTCCTTTATGTTGAAATACTCAAAATGGCTCAGAAAATAAGTAATTGTTGGAGACCCGTCAGCCGTTCTCCCACCTACTCGACTTTATTGGAGCCTATTTGTTAGTATATTAACTGTCATATAGTCGGTCATCCACATGGTGAGTGTCTGAACTGTGACCTGACCCATTAACAGCAACACTCACTCTAATGGACAGCAGCTCACAGGCCTTTATAAGTCTCCAAGTAGCCACACATCACGACGTTAAGTGGGAATGCGGCGTTCCAGAAATGTCGGAAAAATCTGAATTTGCAACAGAACAGCAACTCTAGGCAGAGAGTCGATAAAGAAACCTGGGTAAGATCTTGCTACAATACCTTTTCTGAGATAACATTATTTGATGTCACATCTAAGTGGCAGCATACACTTCTAACACTACACAACAATACTGTTTGTAATCCTCGAAACCCACCAGTTCAGTAAAGTATGAGCATAATCCTGCCCTTTTCTGTAGGTAGCTAAACATGGAAGTTTGAATTGTGAAGACTAGCAAACATTGCTAAATGTCATAGACGCCTTTAGCTGATGCACTACAACACATTCGCCATGTAAAAGAAGAAAAACAAATTTATGAAATGAAAAAAGGTCCAATTTCTTCCATTTATTTTGCAAATGTATGACATTTTTGGAGGATTGGTTGGACAAAATAAGCAATTTGATGCCATCATCTTAACCCTTTGTGTCAGGCAATTTCCCTTTTTTTGGGGATATTTTGCAAGACGATTAATTAACGAAAAGATTATTAAAGGAGAAGAATCAGTGCATTCATCGATAATCAAAAATAATAGTTGCATCCTAAACAAATGCAATTGTATAAGCGGAACGGTGGAAGTATTGATCCATGGCCCTAATACTAGCTGCGTTTTAAAAAGAATAACAAACTGTACCTGGGCCGAAGAAAATCTTGCTTTAGTAAATGTGTTTTGCCTTTATTTTATTTTTTTCAAACGGCCAGAGAAACACACAGCCGTTGTAAGTTCTAGCCTACCCGCTGGTGATTCAGACTTCCGACATTGAAAGGAACGCAGCAGGAGCATTAAAATGAGCCTGTTCATCATTGCCAGAGACTGGTCAGGACTAACTAAAGCACATAAAGGCACTGATGTCAAGAAAGGACAATCGTATAAGTACTCGTTTTTGTGTAACAATGCCACGTGCTGTGCCAAAATCAAGTAAATGATATTGAATCGCTGCTGGTTATGCTAGTTAGTGCATGCCGCTCACACAGAGTCGTCCCTCTGACTCGTGTTTTAGTCCACGTTTGCAGCTTCTACAATAAAACCAGTATGAGTTTTTTGTGTTTTATCTCGGCCGTGTTGCCTCACTAGTCCCACATACAATGAATAAAATGGGGCACTGTATGTTGCAACAGTGACGTCATGGTGCTATGGTGAGTTGGGGAGAATGCTGATTGAACTGTATTGTTATTTACATGCAGGAATGAACATATGTATAACAGCATACCAACCTCTTATGATGACATGCAGATACTGTACACTAACATGCACAGATACAGTGCATAGTTTACTGTGCACATGTATGTATGTATGTGCATAACACATGGGTCAGACACCACCACTGTGACCAACCAGTGGTATCTGGAGGCCAAGTAAACGCTGGCTGCCCCCAAAAAACAGTATGATTCTTCATCAGCAAGGTACACTGACAAAAGTGGTGAGATTGTGAAAACGTAGCGCTCTTTCCTCTCTCTTATTTCGATATATCGGTATGTTCTTTTTTTGTTGTTGTTCTAAAAGCCTCTCTACGGTATTGTCGTTCGCAATGTGACAAACATTTGCTCTGTATATCTCGCTTTATCAAGCTTCACACTACACTTTTTTTTTTTGTTTTGTTTTTTCCCCCTCTTTTCTGTGAAGTGATGCCTTTTTATCAAAGCAATAGACTTGCTGCAGTGTTTGAATGACCCGGACCTCACACACACACACACACACACACACACACACACACACCTCAGAAACTGTACAGTCTCAAAATAAATGCACAGACAATCAGAGGGGGAGGGGGGGGCGGCGGCGAGTATAGGCACCCCGGCTCAGGCAGCCCGGTTGTCATGTCCGGGCCGTGCTGAGCCAGGGCCATTTGGAAAAGTAACATTGGCCACGTTTACATGCACCACTGTTGTCCATAGTCCTCATAGGTCATCTGCATGTTGGGTAGTTGGCAGGAGCCATTGAAACACTGTGACTGAGCCCGCCTGGTGGCATTGATTAACCAATTAACAGAGTAGTCCTGGTAGAAAAAATACAGCAATGATCAAAATGATGTCCCACTAGTTACTCAGTTTTGTTTCTGCTTGATTGATGAATTGAACTACAATAATGTATGAATGACAGTTGGCACAAGCAGTGACAAGATGAACAAAACGTGAAATAAATCTGGTCAGTTATCACAACCTGGGGCTGGTTGCACAAACGCGCATATATTAGACTGATGTATAGAGTTAGGTCAGTCGTAATTCTCTGGGTTGTCGAATGGCCCTTTTTCAACCAAATGCTCCCAGGAACTGGGAACTAAATGAGGACCTAAATGTCACTTTGGTGCATTTGTGTTTGCATTTCCGTTGCATCTGAAGAACTGTGAGGATAAGACTAGCAAATTACATTTGCAAATCAGATCTAAAATACATAAAGTGACAACTTTGTTCGAGACTTAATGTCTTAATGCAATGAGATGACAACGCTGTCGTCTTGTCTTTTCTAATAGTCTGTGACATGACTGTTAGAGAAATGCATTGTTAACCTGGTCTCTCTTACCTCTTTTTTCTTTTTTTTTTTTTTTTCTTTTTTTTTATTAAATGTTTAGACGTTAAGACTAGTCTCAGGAATTCGGCTGCATGACGTTAAACATGAACAACATTTAAAGAAATTCCCATTCTAAGCGCAATGCTATGCTAGCAACAACTATTGCTTGCTTGCTTTCGATCGGAATGAAAGCGGTATATGTGCTGTGGTAGTTTGGAGGCTTGTGTTTGACCAGCGGCATCCGTACCAACTCCACCCTGATAGCTACTGGACCTTCAATACATACTACCTCAGGAGAAGGAACAAACTAACTGGAACTATGTTCCTATGGTTGTAATGCAAGTTCCTAAAGTTTCTGGAAATATGTCTGGGTTCCCGCAAAGGTAAAGGGCCACAATGAGAGTTCAGCAACTTGCACAAAATAAAAAATGGATTCATTTTAATGCTGCATTAATCGACTTTTTTGCCACTAAGGGGCAGAACACCACAGCCAGCTTACAGACGCACAACCTTGACACAGTTTGTAATGGCTCATGTGTTCGCAAACATTTGGATGGCACATCCTGCAGAAACGGAGCAGCATTAGCATTCAGTTGGCGTCATTGTTGACTTGTTAGTCAAGTTTAAAGCCCAATGAGTTTACGATATATCTGCTGTTTGTCCCCCATCCCACCAACGGGTATAATTTCTCATAATTTCTGACATGTTTCCAGCACTCTTTTCCATAGCTTTTCTTTAGCGATTGCAAATCAAGGTTTGTGGAATATCTTTTGCAGTTTCCTTCAGTGAACTGAACAATGAGAAGCTATCGATACAGGGCCAGTATGGACAAAAGGATATGTGGGACCAAGAACTCTCCCCTTCCGTTTTATGGCAGTGAGCATGAAATTAAGAAATTTCGAATACATTTATAAGATACTGAAGACATTGACATCAGTCGAAAATGTGAATTTTTGTTTTATCATTTTCAAAGTCTGCCTGGGCAGCCAGCCCCAAGTTTCTCATAGTCAAAGCACTTTCAGGTGAGTCACAAGTCCTACTTCAAAATTCTTGACAGAGATGAGATCGATCGCATTCTGTAGAAAATCAAAGATTTCAAAATTCAAATTTCCAGTCTAAACAGGGTAATAAGCCAGAACTTACAGCAGGGCTCTTTAGTCATGGCACTTCAGTTAAATCTTGAAGGCCACGTTATTCATTTGACTAATTTCATTTGAAGTTTTTTTTAAGGAATTAAATGTTCGCTCAACAAGTTTAGGTTATTTTTTAGCAGTAAGCAACTAAAACCTTACCTCAACGTTAACCAAATGTATTCACAGTAACCTCAACGCATTTGTCAGTTTTAGTTGGCTACATGGTGGCAGTACTTCACAACTTACGAAAATCACACTTGTTTGACAAATTAGGATCTCATAAAGACGACATGGCCGACATGTAAACGGTGAATCACAATTGAGGCAGAATCAAAATAACATTGTTTGCCATAAAATCAAAATAATGACCTGAAAGATCCTGAAGTGCTCCGTAGAGCTGAAGAGCTTGTGATGATTCATGATGTGGGTTCGTCACTGAGAGCAACCCCTTCACATTACATTCATTTGACTCCACATTCATATAAAATTGATTAGTGCAGCATAAACCCCCATAATAAAATTTTTTTTTTTTTTTTTTTACCAAATCCCATCAAAATACAAATTAAGTATTACAACCCCAACTTAGTTTTTGAAACAATTGTTTGTGTTTTTTGTAGGTTATGTACGAATTTGAGGTAATAGCCGCATGAATATGTTTTACATGTCACACACATAACCATAATTACTTGAATTGTCATATGCACAGAGCTGTTGGTGCATGTAAACATAGTCGATGCTGCCGATGATGTTTCCCGTTTTTTGAAGAGGTGCCAGTGCACCGTTTTCTCTCCCACGAGTTGTTACTCTTAAGGTTACTCAGTTACAAACCAATAACAAGAGTTGCACCATAGAAAAAGCTATTTTACAGTACAAAGGAAAAAGGATGTATATTTTCAAACTGCAGATTTTTTTTACGGATGTTGCTGGCATAATATGAACATAGTATTGTTTTGCATAGTGTTGAAAAAAAAAAAATACAGTATCTTGCTCTCAAACCCATTTCCACATCTCAGCAGAAGACTTATTAGCAAGACCTTATGAATCATAAACACATGAATTAGTGCAACATTAGTTCTATTTAAAAATAAAATATTTTAGCTGGAGTTCACTGTCGGTACAAAGCGGAAAAGCTGAACACATGTAAGGTCAACTTCTTGGTCGAAGTGTAAACATCCTCAAAAAAAAAAAAAAAGCAATCCACCGTCAACACAGATTTCTCTCCTTGTGTGTTTGAGTGTCTTCTTCTTCAACTCATCTGTTCAACACATACTGGAAAACCGTCAAGGAGAGAAAGGGAGTGAGATAATTTGTGTGTAGGAGTGAGTGTGTGTGTGACAGCAAAACAGAAGAGGAGAAAATATTTCTGTCACAAATTTGCTGTCTTGCACTCGGCATTTACTGGAAACGTTGTCCGGTAAGCGACTGCCCAGCTCTGGATAGTGCTTTGTCATGAGCGTGTAGGATGACGATGCAATTAATGTGAATTAGCTCTTGAGAATAAAGATGGTTTTGAGAGAATTTGGTGTTGTGTTTTTTTGTTGTTGTTGCAATTGAGTCAATGATCTTCCCTCTTTCTTTACTGGCTTGTGACTTTAATTTGTTATTTTCCCATGGCTTCTAATCCCAGTTCTTAATTTTTTTTTTAAACCATTTTTTTTTCTTTTATATATATATTTTTAAATGTTTTAAATGCTGTGCATGTTTACGTTCATGTGCGCTAACTCGTCTTACTTACAGTTTGACGACATGCTATACCATGACTTGTCATGAGATTTTGACGATAAGCTATAGACTTGAATGATGAAATTTAAATCTAATTGTTTGCAGCGTGCGGTGAGAAAATAGTAGATAGTGGAAATTGGCATAGTTCTGATGAATTAGTTTTGAATGGAGTCCAAGAAACAGGACACCTCCCAGTGAATGAGACAAGTAGGCCGCATACTAGATAGTCTGCTTTATGTTTTAGTATTAAGAATCATTAATGGTAAAGCGTTAGACATTTTGCAGGCTTGTTAACAGCTTTCTAAAGTCCCATTTGGATTAATTATTTTACACTTTGCCACATTTGGTAAAAACATTGAAAATTAAGTTCTGTTGGTTAAAACAGCGCTTGGCCACAGGACGGCATTTGTAAAGGTGGAGCTACTGGTGGATCTGTCGGGGCTAAAGAGACAGAAACTTGTTTAACAAGATGTTAAGATTAAACTATATTTAATTCAAACAATGAATTGATTCTGCTTAACCTAATGAGAAGACACATTCAATAACCACTTCACAACATACACTGCATTTATAAAATTTATTTTTATAGATATATTCATCTATACAGCTATGTATGTATGATAGTATGTATATTTATATAGAAATCTATGCATACTGCAATCCTTTCACAGAGAACAGAGCCACATGTCAGCAATGTTAACACAATGACAGAAGCTCTGGATATTAAAAGGCCCGACATCCTGAATTCATCAACAGGGAACAAAAAGATGGCATCGCAAAACACCTGAACATCAGCAACTCAGCCATCACCTCGACTCAGCTTATTTCTTTTAAATTACAATCAGTGACATTACAATCATGTTTTATGTGGAATAGTACTACCCATTCAGTTTAACTACACTCAGCTTAAGCCTGTACAGTTTTGTAAAACAGAAAAGTGTATTCAAGCACGTTGGAGCTGCTGGTGACGATGTTTTCTCTTGCGCCCAGCGTCCTACAGCAGCATCTCGTGTGACTCGACTGCTTGGCAGGTAGGAAAGTCACCACTTGGGACACACAGGACAGCAGGATCTCAGAGACACTTCTTACTTCTTCATTATTTTCTTCAAAAAAAATAAATAAAATAAAATTAGAAGAGACGGGAAAATGTATCTCCATCGGTTCAGTGCGTCTCAATTTCAAAATCAGCAAGCAATAGAGGGACACCGATACATTTGACTTGTCTCAATCAAATAAAGTAATTTAGAAAAATGGCCGCAACTAACAAAAACACAGCATATCAACTGCAAGACAACGCCTTCTTTTGCTCCCCTAATTCATTCAGATTAAAATAACATCCTGATTTCTCTGGGACTTTTAGCAGCTTTACATTCCTCTCATTGTCGCCTGCCTTCTTCTTTTTTTTTTTTTTTTTAAAAGAGAATTCTAACTTGTCAGTCTTTCAGTGTCTGCATTGTCGTTCGCTCTACAGCTTCCCCCCTCATCACATGACCACAGCACCTATTCAAATTAATGTTTGCCACTGAAAGTATACACAAGAATCTTGACTCATCACTATACAGCTAAACTCAAAAAGCAGTCACATATTGCACTATGAATGCAACAAATACCAGTCTACCCTATACAGAAAAGTGCTTCTAATGTTTGCACAGTTGCAAACATACAGAATGCTACACACACAAACAAGCAACATACACATCAATCAGTGTGTCTGTATGTATGCATTACCATCACACAGGCATTTACAGCCCTACAGTACAATAACATGTTATGGTCTTCTTCCCCCTTTAAATGTCAGCTTAGACTTTTAGCTCTATTTGTAGCCCGAACGAAGAGAACCGTGGAGGTGAGGCAGAGCTGGGGGGTCCATGTGCCCCCCCCCCCAGGTCCGGTCACAGGCCGTAACAGTTCGTGTCAGGGCGTCAAGTACTAAGAGGAAACTTCAGGAATGAACCTTGAAGGCCAGCAGCTCCTCAGAGTGCATGTTGTTGAGCGAGCGCAGGTCGGGCAGCTTGAGCAGCAGCTTGGTGAAGACGGCCGACTCGTTGGGGTGGTTCTTGGCGATGAGGCTTCGCAGAGCACGGATCAGCGTCTCCTGCAGCGCCTCCACCGAGTTCACATTCTCGATGCCCGAGCGATCTGGGGAGAACGGACAGTGATGTGCCGTGAGATGACATATATTTTGGAAAAGGGATTAAAGATCACAAGAAAAAACACACAGTTTGGGTTACAATGATATCAGTCAATTAGCTTAGCTTAGCATCAAGACTGGAAGCAGGGAGAAACAGCTAGCCCGGCTCTGTCCAAAGGTTATACAATTTGTCCAAACACTGTTAATTAGAGAGTTCTAGAGGTGTTGGTAGACAGATTTTGTTACCCTTAGTCAGAGCCAGGCTACCCGTTTCCAGTCAATATGCTGAGCTAAGCTAGCTGGTTGGCTGCTGGCTCCATCTCCAGCTCCATTTATGCAAATTATTTGTGTACCATGCTAAATGTAATTTCAGAATTCTTCATCAAACCCACCTGCAGAGACCAGAACCACGGCGGTGAAGAGGCTCATCTCCTCTTCAATGAGGCCCAGGTTGATAAGCTTCTCACTGAAGTCAAACATGGAGTTGAGGAGGTCCCCGGCCCCCATGGCCCTCAGAGTGTCCACGCTGTATTTCATCCCACCCAGAAAGGTGACGGTGCGGTCCTTCACGTCAAAGAGAGAAGCAAAGCGAACCACCAACACCTGCAGCACACAAACACAGCTCTGTCGGTCTCGGTGCAACTGTTCTGACACCACAACAACGTCAGCCTTTTTACGAACACTAAACTATCCGTGGCACGTGGCTTACCTCGAAGGTGCCCGCCTTCAGCAGGCTGACCTGGTCGTGCTGGCACAGGTCTCTGAAGCCTGGGATCTTCTTGGCAAACTCCACCACCTCTTTGACGGCGGGGGTGAAGCTGTGGGAGAACTCCTCCCACACCTCGTGGCCAGACTTCTGAGGGTCCACATACGGAGAGGTGTTCATCGGACAAACCTGAGGGCAGATTCATGGTCATTTTAGGAGGCTGCACCCTGATTTCCAACAATTTCTCAGATCACTGGGCTGACTATGTGATTCACAGGTATTAAAATATATTATTTCTTCCCATAGACTTGTAAATGGTATTGTACTACACTTTTAGTCCTTAATCAAAGCACACCGAATAGAGTCCTGAACCCTTCTCGCCTCCTTGTATCTTACCAGATGCATTCTGTTGCCTCCACTCCACAGGGGCCTGCTGTAGGCCACGTTGGTGTGGCCCTCTGAGGACGGAGCGCCGAAAGATCCATGTGTGTGGGCCGGACAGTGGCTGGTGGCGGCACTCCTGGACAGCCTGAAGGGGCAGTGGTTGGTGGTGTTGCCCTCCTGACCCTGGGGGCCCAGGCTGGAGGCAGGGTCCTGTTCTGCCACCGTGACCACGTTGTTGCGGTGGTTCCAGGTGTCCGGACGCTCCTCTGTACAGAGGTTAGTGGCGTTTTTGGCTGAGCCGCTCTTCGGGGGGCCAGAAGGAGGCGGGGCCTCCGCTGCCAGGCCGCTCTGCTCCTGGTTGTACATGAAGGTCATCTGGTGGGCCCTGGTCACTGAGCCGATCACCTCCTCCTCCCCGCTGTCTGAGGCGCCGGGCGAGTCCGAGCTGCAGCTGGTGTCCATGGCCGCCACGGTGGGTTCAGGGTCGGAGCCGGACTCTGATTGGCTGGAGCATGGTGTGGCGGAGGAAGAGGTGGAGGGGGCGGGGCTGGCGTCCTCTGAGGTAGGTTCTGTGGCACTGGCCGGCAGAGGTTTGATGATAGGTAGCGTCCGGCTGCTGTGCAGCTGGCTGTGCAGCTGACTGTTGTTCATCATGTTGTTCATGGCACTCTGCATCTCCAGCAGCATGCGCTGTTTCTCACGCTTGGGGATTCGGCCGAAGCGCACAGCTGAGCGGTGAGGAGAGAATCATTTCAGGAGGACTCACCTTTACGTTTTACTGTTCTACAGTTACAGTTTCTACTAGTCAGAGCGTAATGAGTCAAAATATTCTAATGATTAATTATATACAATTCCCTTCATTTATGGCAGTGCAACTTGTTTAAGTACCCCTTTAAATACACTGACAGTTTGATAATTGTTATGAAAATGTTGATTTTATTGACAAAATGATCAACGGTACAAAGTAGGTTAATTTAAATGACACACAAGGACGGCATGTGCGTGATCCTGTTCTTGAAAGGCTGAACAATGAGCTGTACTACTGTACATTATTGTTTTCTTCTCCACTTTGAATTGAACTGAATTGAAAAATGAGTCAGACAGTCATTTCCACGGATACTCACAGTCTCTGGACATCCCAACCAGCATGCATTTCTTGAAGCGGCACTGCTGGCAGCGGTTGCGGTTGATCCGCATGATGGGGCAGCTCTCGTTCTTAAGGCACTTCTTGTACTGGATGTTCTGCTGGATGCTCCTCCTGAAGAAGCCCTGTGGGTTCACAAACACAAACAGCACATTGTGATGACACAAGTCACAGAGAGAAACCGTGGACGTGTCAAGATTAGATTGACATAGGACAATGTGAGCACGCACATGTCCAATAACACTCATATTATTTGCATTCCTCGCAGTTAAGAATTTCATTAAATCTGTATAATATCGGCTAACCAACGCATCAGTCTGAAATGTGTGTGTGCTCCTCCTCCAAGGTGTACTGCGGTGTGTTTGTCACTGTACACGGCTCCCCACGGTTAACTAGGCCACACAGCAACGTGATGGATGAGGGGCAGCTGATATTAATATGGGGAGAGTGAACTATTTTCACTGAGTCTCTGGTTGGAGCTGCGCAGATTGCTACGCCTGCTGCAGTGACCCACTTCAGATGCAGCCCAAAGTCACAGCAACTTGTGTGTGTGTATGCGCGTGTGTGTGTGTGTGTGTGTGTGTGTGTGTGTGTGTGTGTGTGTGTGTGTGTCGGGATTGTTGGAGGGAACCGCCCTCACCTTGCAGCCCTCGCAGGCGTGGACGCCGTAGTGGAAACCAGAGGCCACGTCGCCGCAAACCTTACACAGCAGCACCAGGCCGTTGATTTCTGATTAATACGAAAACATTTTCTTAATAGTTAATCTGAAAGAGGAAAAAAACTAGTGATTTTGCATGCGTTAGCGCCTCAAATAATATTTTACAAGTGCAATGCAATAAATAAAATCCTAAACACATATTGTGGGTGGCCGTCTTACTTGTGATGCCACATTTTGCAGTGGAGGTGGAGCGTCCGCCTTTCTGGGTCCCTGGAAGGTTTTGGCCGGCCCGTGCGAGTGCGGGGTCAGCCTGCTGACTCGGCGGGTGGCGGTTGGCCGAGGAGCCGCGGGGCGGCGAGGACGACTGGTAGCTGCCGTTGGAGGAGTCGCTGTGGCACGACTCGGGGCCAGAGCTGGCCGAGCTGATGTAGGCTATTACGCCTCCTGGTGACCAACAGAGAGAATGAGCCATGAGGACAGAGACTGCAGCAACAGATCAAGACATGCATGTCATATTGTGATTGCTTTTTTTAAATGCACCAATTTAACTTTATTTTCCCCCCTTAAAACATGAGGCCAGTGATACTAAATCTATATTATGTGCGGACCCAAACCAGCAACAAATCTATCGACTAACAAGTACAGTGTGTGCATTAAAGCCTGACTCCTTATTCCTCTGGAGCACGAGGTTACTTCATTAACTATAAAGTGTACTTTACTTTGTCTCAATCCGAGAAACGCCGCCTTGATGCCCCAAATACTCAATAAAAAAAACTAATATGAAGTAATCTTCTGCAGAAAATAGTCCCCAACAAATACGCTTATTCTTCTTGTTTGATTAACATTTAAACATTTTTTCTTTCATGTAAGAAGAAGAATATAATTTGTTTGATTCCGCTTTCTTTATTTTCTACTATGTAATAAGAAGCAACAAAATCAAATGTGTTTTTTTTTGGACTGGTTTTAGCACCAACCTATCAAAGGCGGTGTTAATCCTTTGATTTATTGTTGTCTTGTTATTGTCTGCTCAAGCCAACTCCCTGCGGTTTCCTTTCCCTCAAATTAAATGAACAGTGACTGGAACCATCACCAGCTCCGGGCAGTTTTGCTGTGGAATCAACCAGCTTAACATTACGAGGGCCAGATCATAACAGGACAACAGAGTCCTCAACCAGTAGGAGCCGAGCAGACCGCTGCCGCCTCAACATGAGCTGACCTGATTTCTTCCCTCTGCCATTCTCAGTGATTAGGTAACAGCCATTACATAATCTCAGCTGCAACAGGGTGTGTGATAGGTAGTCTGGCACCTCCCTGCAGCCACTCACACACGCACACACTGATCCATCACAAATGGTCTGGTGCCAAATCACATGAATTGAACATAAATTAATTCAGTACTTGCACAAAAGTGGACTGGGATTTTTTTGTGACTGTGCCACATATTATTTTTGCAGAAAGCGAGACGGATGTATTTGATCATGAGTCTGTGTGTTAGATAATATGGAGCATTTTGAATAACCTTCCGGTGCTAAGCCAGACAAAACAGGAAAGCTTAACTTCCAGACATATTATTCAGAATAAAGCCGTTTGTCAAGACACCATGAATCGCATCACAGCATATTTCAAAAGGCTCAATTCCTCAAAATGTAACATGTTATTAACCTTGCTAAGTATACAATTACGTAGTACTACACCGCAAAATTACAAATTGTCAATTTTATATTGAGGATTAACTCGCCAAAATGTATCGTTTTGGTTTGATTTGTTGTATCCAAATCTGACAAAACTGTAAAACTGAATTAAAAAATGTTGCATTCAGGTCCCGTGGGAAATGTTATCCTTTCAAGACGTACACGTCAATGAGAAACATGCAGGTTTAGTACTTTAGAGAAATTAGGTTAGTACGCGGAATGTAACAATAACTATTTACATTATTACTCTTAAATTCACTGAATAAACAGTGTTAACAACCCTAAGACGTTACCACATGAAAACTAAGTTGGATGTCATTTCTAGACATATTCTTTAGCCAAACGCTCCTTTATAACACGATATAATATACAAAAATAAAGTATATCCCATGGGCCCTGAATGCACCATAAACATCGACGCTTTTTTTTCTTCTCAACACGCCCCCGCGTGGACTAACTACATCTTTTCCCCGGGAAAACTGGGTCACCGTGAGCCGCCTCGGAAGACGGCTCACGTGTATCCGCGGCGAGACCTCACGCCATCTTGACGGGTGGAATTATACAACGACCGCGTCACGGCGCCCGCTCGGCCAATGAGCGGCGACGCACGTGGAGCGTAAACACAGGTGCACATGGCTAGACGGATGGGTCCATGTGAGAGGAGACGACTGCAGTGCTGCTGAAACCCCTGTGTGTGTGCTCGGGTAATAACAACAGCCCGCTGGCACCCCTAACCCAGTTTAATATTAACACACCAGCACAACCTTTAACGTATTAAAGAGCCTCGGCTGGATGTTCAAAATATAACACATTATGCCACTTTCACAGAAGATAAATGGCAGTAATTAGCAAAATTAAAGCTGTAAGCATCGATTAAATGGAGGTGTAAAGCACACTTACCGGCTTTGGTGGACTCCATATCCTCTGAGGTTTTTTGGGGGGGGCTTTCCTCCTCCGATGCTACCTCAGTGCTGAAGCCGTGATTCTGTTTTTGTGTTCAGCAACTGAAAAGTCGCTGTGAAGCTACAACATTTAGAGTTAACAACACCTGAAACACGATCGAGGACTAAGCGATACGAATGCAACCCCCAAATAAATCTCGCATAAAAAAAACCGAAGCAGTAAGTTTTCAAAGACCGGTTTCAATGAGGCTAAAAAAGGCAGTTTTTTTTTTGTCCTCGATGCCGGAAGTCTCTTTATTCTACCAAAGAGAGAGAGAGAGAGATACGCTGCTCGTCTGTTTTCAGTGCAATCGAGGTGTATCTAGAAATACAGTTTTCCATTCAGCGATGGTTCAGGAGAAACGCTGCGATGCAGGCGGAACTCAGCGGTGTGAAAGACTGGGTTTGTTGCAGCGACTGTTTCGAGTCGAATGTGCATCCATGTGACCTAGTTCATCGGCTCCTCCCTCCTTACGGCCCCGCAATGGTGTCAATGTAACCCACTGACATACTTTCAGCAGCCACAGTGAACAAAGACAAGTTGGCAAGTAAGAGAAAAAAGAAGAGAAATAGTCGAACTATTATATATGTATCCAAATGTGTACTTTTTATTAAAGGAGGCCAAAGGTAAACAAAAGAATATCTGATGAAATATTGGACAGATGTTTCTAATCACATGTAAAAGTTTTGTCTCATTTGCTTCATATAATTACTGGTAAAATACCTTTTTTTTATAATGCAAAAACTTTTTTTCCCCCTGCAAATAAAAATAATTATTAAAATTTGATGACAGCGGAGGTTTGGGCTGGAAAACAAAAAGGGCTAAAAGAGGCTAAAATGCTTTATAAAGCTGAGGAGAACTACAGCAATATCTTTCACAATAAACAAAGTAATTTGATCCTTTTGTAATAACAAAAACATTCAGCAGTACCGCTTTAAACTACTTGATATTTGAATTGCATCCTTGGAAGGGTTTAAAGCATCATGTGGAGCCCCATAAATGATCATTAAACCCTCCATTAAAGCCTGATTCAGCAAAACAATGCATCCCTTTAAAAACCTAATGGACAACAATTGTTCCCTTTAACTGCCCCTAAAGTAAAGCATTAACATCCACCATCCGAGCACTGCAGCGATAAATGTTTCAACCGTGCGTGCCACGTGAGATGACTTGGCGAAGGAACAGCATTTGGCAGTGGGTGGGTACTGTGTAAATAAGATGCACACCACACACTAGTGGATCAGGCCCCCCCCCACACACACACACACTAAATACTCACTGGGTTAACACGACATGGAAAAGCTTCCCTCCTCGCCGGAGCTCCACACAAAGATGTAGCATCAGCTGACCCTTCCTCTCAGTAGGTCAGGCAGACACTATTTTAGCTAAGGGGTCAGGATATTTTGTCAGTGTGACCCAGGTAATTAATTCAGTTCACATAACAATGTAAGATGTGTGCTTACACGTCCAGGTGGGGTCACTGGGAGTCCCATCCTCCTGTAGGACACTGAAAGGACTTAAATACACAGCAACTACAAATAGTAGGAGCACACACAATTAAGAAATTCCTTAATCATTGACATTTTGTTGACGAACAGCACGATCTTACTCTTTAGCGGCAGAATCCTGCAGATTTCCTGCTAATCCTGACCTGCTGGCACAAAATGTAAACCGCTGCACAGACTCTAAGCGCCCGATGTATAAAATAAAAAACATGCATAAGTGCAACTTTTAGTAGACGTGATGAAGCAACACAAATCTAGGCGGGGACTGTGGTTTTATTGTGTAACTTCAAAGTGTGGATGTGTGTTACATGAGTGTGAACAGAAGAGCATTGAACCCAATGACACTGGTTAAAAAAAATGAGGCTACGCCTTGTTTGACTTTAGGCTCCAATAAAAAGGATTGTGTCAATCAAGCAGTGAACAGGCAATAGTCATGACTTAAATGTTTAATACAGGCACAACTTGAGGAACAGGAATAATGTATTGCATAGCAGGGGTTCAACCAGGTTGCAGTATTTTGTACATTTGTCAAGTATCCTGTTGGTCTGGATAGCAGTTGTGATCTCCGTGCTCTCTCTCTGGCACGCCACTGGTTGTTTTGTTCATTTAATTATACAACCTGCTAGAATTAAACCTGGAGACGACATGTCAGTCAGCGCAAAGGGAATTAAGTTATCAACTTATCTTTCAGCCAAATGCCGAGAAATAAAAGATCTCTTCAAAGTGAACACATGAAGATTTCATGCGAGGAATATTGCTCTCTAGTTGGTTGGAAGTAGCTCAATGTGGCAGATCACCGGCAGCAGACGCTTCACCTTCAAGAGTTTGAGGTCCTAGTTTTACTTTTCAAACATTTTTAAAAGTGCCACACTTGTGAGGTGTTGTGCATATGGAGTATTGAGGGTTAAGTGAAATCACCTATAGAGATGTGCAAGTGGAGCCTTAAAACATCCATCGGTACATAATCCATTACCAAAGGTTATTAAGTAAAGATTAATTCTCTTAACTGTATTCACAATGATGCTATGAGCGGTCAAAGAGCAAGTTCTGTTTAACATTCTAACAGCTGAATGAAGCAGACAGCAGACAGGATTGTCACCATAAAAAGGTTTATTTGTTTAAATGTACAGGCGAGCTCTAGCGATAGCGGTGCAGCTGCAGGGTGTTGCGCCTCTTCCAGGCTGCACGACGGGAGCCTCCGATGGTCAGGTGGAACTTGTGGCCCTTGCCCAGGCCGCGGCTCTTCTTTCCTGCAGATGTCAGGCCACGCATCTCTCTGTGCTTGTGCACAGCCTTTGTGATCCATTGGGTGTCTGGGTTGCGTCTGATGGCCTTGTGGAAGGTGTCGATCAGAACCACCTCAAAGAACTTGTAGGTGGAGTCCTCACCCACCCAGTAGGAGCTCAGCACTCGCAGGCCTCCGCAGTGACGCCCAGCACGCTCCTGGGAAATAAAAAAATAGAGATATACTGAGTGAAAGGTTCCGACAATCTAACACACGGTGATATGACGCCATTGTAAAGCTGCAAAAGCAACTTTGTGCTTTGGCGGCTCCCGGTGGCTGCAAGAAATGTGATCTTCAACACTCAGAAATCCTATTTTAAAAAAAAAAAAGGTGCCACCGGTTGAGTGGCGACAACATCCTCATATTTACCACCCGACCTGGTCCGGGATCACACCGCATAAAAAGTAAACTATACAAACCAATGATGACAAATGACATATTTACCATAAGTAGGAGTTACCTTTAACTCCAACTAAATATTCAGTGAACATGCCACAGTGTGGATGCATTCATCTTACACCAGCAGCTTTAACTTTCATTCAGACATATATGAAACAACTTTTTGTCTTGACACATTTGTGACACTGCTTGTGTGAACTAAGCTGATGTGAGCTACTTTCAGTATTCCATTTACCTAAAGTTAAACGTACTGTAGGGTTATTGCTATGCATTAGATACACGGCAGTGTTAACCAACAACGTACATACGAGACGGTGCCCCGTTTTCCCGGTAAGTATTTTGACTCTTCAAAAGGAAACATTTAATTTCTTATCAAGTCTCCCAATAATTCCTTTCAGTGAGCCAGATAGCGCAACACCACGACACTGAAGCACCTAAATGTAACCAATCACTGAGAAACCCTTTATTACTATTCCTTTGAGCATGAACTGTAGTTTAATTATTAGCTCTTTATGCAAGTTGTGAGTATATCAGCCAGTGGCCTGAAATAAATTAAAGCTCAGTTTAGGTATCAGCAACTTATTACTAAATATAATAAGAGTGCAATTCTCAACTCTTGGTAATCACCAATATTTGTGGAGGTGAGGCTTTAGTTACGCATTGAGATTGTTCAAAATATTCCAATTATATCCAAATATGTATGCTACACTTCCTGTCGTATACAAAACCAAGCAGGTGTATGGTCTGCACTAAACAAAACAGTTCTGACCATCAGAGGAGCAGATACTTCAACATGAGCCAACCAGTGTGCAGGAAAAATATGTGAGTAAGTGTTTGAAGCAGACTGGTTATACATGTGGACAGTAAAATGGATTTTACTGTTGGGTGGTGCTCAAGTTTCCAGACCACTTAAACACCTTTTAACTGCTGTGAACCAGCCACCATTAGAGTCTGTTGTAATCAGCATCAATATAAATCGACTATGATGTCTAAGAACATTATAAGAAACATATCATGGAAAACAAGAGCCCACTTGTGCAGATTATAAAGAGATGTTACCCTCCGTATTTTCCGATTCCCTGATCGTCATCGTTTTAGTATTTGCAATCAAAATGGTATCCATATGAGATCCAGTACACACTGAACATAAGCTCTTCTGAAGTGTCGTCAAAACCAGCAAACATGTTTCTTCTGGCCTTAAAGTCACGATTAATAAAAATAAACGAACCTCAGCGGTGGACTGCAAGCTGCGGGCGAACTTGATCTGGTTGACACCATGGTGGACAGGCTTGCCGTAGGTAGCACCCTTGGGCACGGGGCGTTTGCGGCCTCCACGGCGCACACGGACGCGATACACTACGTAACCTGTTGGAATGAAACAAAGATGTGATTAATGAGGCGGGCAGAGATGGTGACAGACCATGTGTGCAGAAAAAACTAACTTGGGGCTCAGCACTCACCCTGCTTGGCCTTGTAGCCCAGTCTACGGGCCTTGTCGGGTCTGGTGGGCCGAGGAGCACGGTGGAGGTTGGACAGCTGACGATACTGCCAGCAGCGGACGCGGAGCAGGAAGCGCATCACGTCGGACTGCTTCTTGCGCCATAACTCCTGCATATACCTATATGCTCCCATGTTGACTTATCTAAACAAACAAAAAAACAACAATATTAAACATTTATCAATTCATAACTTGTTGATGTCCAACATGATGCAAATAAGAAACACAGGATTTATAATAGATAACATGCAAACAGCATCTGCTGTGTAATCTATAAGAGGATACTGTAAAGGTGAGCAACACTCCCCAAAATCAAATTGGAGAGGTTTTCAGTTATGAGCCTGCAGGACAACACTTTGACTAGCTGCTGCCTTGCTCAAATATAAAAAGTGTGTCTTTTGGATCAGTCAATTTGAAACCTGTGACTCTAAAGTCATAATAGCACATGGTTCAAGACCCCCTGAGACTCTGAACACTTATAGAGCTTAAAGCATTTTTAATATTGCTTCCAAACAAGTAGCCTCAGTAACCTCTTAATACGGCTTCAATTCAAACAAACGTATGGTACGGCGAGCCAGATGTTTATCACGTTGAAGCATACAGTAGAAATGTATAAGTTATAGTAGCACAGATGCCCATGCTGGTTAAAAAGCTGGCTGGAAATGAAGCTAGCGTTAGCATGCTAACGTTGGCCGCGTAACTTCCTAGTCCCGCTACACCGGATTGTTATCATTAACGTTAACCCCGTAATGATGAATTCAATATGCCGTTTTCAAAAAAGGGTTAAACCGCAAAGACTTTGGTAACTTAACACAAACAACAAGACAGCGAGCTAACACCACATTAGCTTCCTAATGCGGCCGGTGGAGTCGATGGCTACAAGATCCGAGTGCATCTCAGCACCATTGAAACCGGGTCATAATCAGTGTTTTTAACAATGTTGGTAAAAAATACTCAATGCGTATAATATGGTTATTAAGTCACTAAACAATGTCATACGAAAACTAAACAGATGAACGTATATTCTTGATGATTTTAATGGATTACGTTTAGCAAAAAGCATAGAAATATTCGCTTACATGATGGCGTACCAGCCGGAAAGAGAGAGGCAAAGTACCCAGCATGCCTTATGAAAACGACGGTGACGCATCTCTGCCGCTGTGCTCATGGGAAATGTATTCTTCATTTTTGTTTAGTTTTTTTTTTCCTGCACTTTTGAAATATACTTTTGTGATAATTTTGAGAACCAAAATTTTCGATATTTAGTTTTCAATTAAAAAGTAATTTGCAACATAATGCAAAGACATGCATGTAAACATTATGTCAGAAATTATGTATTGTGTAATAAACACAAAAACGTCTTCAAGCGTTTATTATTATTATTATTTCTATTTTATTATTTCATAATTATTGTTGGTATCGATCACCGTCGCGCATGCGCAGTAACGAAAACAAGTCTCAGTGCTTTGCAGAGCAGAATGGACGCACTGGTTGTGATGCTACGGTTAAAGACTTGATAGACAGCAAGTTATCCTCCTGATTCAAGTAAGGAACGCTAGCCGTTTGTACCAATAATTAACAGAGAGTCACAACGGGATTGTTGCTGGTGTGTGTTTATGTAACATTATCATGGCGCAGAATCAGTTGGTCCTGCTAGCCTGTTAGCTAGCTAGGCTAAACAACAGAACGCTGTCATAGCTAACCAACGATAATGGAATCAGAGTTGTTTTGAGCTGCCCTTGTTGGTGTTCATGTTAGTATAGCATATCTAATACATGCCTTACGGTACTATGAACAATGTGATGTTTTGAGTTTGTACCTTGTAGGCTCGAAATGGGAAAAGGCTGTAAAGTTGTGGTGTGTGGCCAGGCAGCAGTTGGAAAAACTGCCATACTGGAACAGCTGCTGTACGGAAACCACTCTGTAGGTGAGTATTGTACCTGGAACATTAGTCATGAGAAAGTAACACAGCTGCACTATTCATACATACAGGTCAAATGTGGATTCATAAGGGTTCATTATGACCGTGACAACAATTTCCTCGAGGACTCATTGAACATTTCTAATGATTTTCCTTGCACTGGAAACTGATTGAAGTTTATCATCCCAGGTTTGCTGAAAATCTGCCGTGTTGTCTGTATTTTCCCAGGTTCCGAATCCAGTGAGACCCAGGAGGATGTGTACGTGGCCTCAGTGGAAACCGACCGCGGTGTGAAGGAACAGCTGAGGCTTTATGACACCAAAGGCCTCCACGACGGGCAGGACCTCCCCAAACACTACTACTCGGTGGCGGACGGCTTCGTGCTCGTCTACAGCGTCGACAGCTCGGAGTCTTTCAAGAAGGTGGACGTTCTGAAGAAGGAAATAGACAAGTCCAGAGATAAAAAAGAGGTGTGGCTGGTTCAAAGTATGTTTTAACTGCCATTCATAATACGTGCAGTCTTCTCCCCTGTGCAGAGATTGTCTTACTCTGCTCCGTACCCAAAGTGTATTGCTGCCTTTTATATTGGCAAACACCCACGCCATGTAGAATTATTTAAAATATTTGAAATATCAGCCCCTAACATGACACATAGAAATCTAATAAGAAATGACCTGTTGATGAAACGGCTCATATTAAATCTAAATGATAAGTTAATCACTGTGTCATGTTCTCTCCATACAGTAAAGTGCATCATGTACATTCTTAAATCTTTAAAAAAACTTAATCGAGGTTTGGTGTCTCTGTTCTCTAGGTGACGGTCATCGTTCTGGGGAATAAGACGGACCTGCGGGAGCGTCGTCAGGTGGACCAGGAGGCGGCGCAGCAGTGGGCGCGAGGCGAGAAGGTGAAGCTGTGGGAGGTGAGCGTCACCGAACGCAACTCCCTCATCGAGCCCTTCACGCAGCTGACCAGCCGCCTCACGCAGCCTCAGAGCAAGTCGGCCTTCCCTCTGCCCGGACGCAAAAGCAAAGGCACCCCGTCCAATGACATCTGAACCTCTGAAGACCCCCCCCCCGCTCCTTTTTAGTGGGCTGCATTCACCTCATGTGGGAATAACGAGCAGGACAGGCCTTTAGTTCAGCAATGACTTTGGTTGCTTCTTTGTAACACACATTCTTCTAGTTATACACACCTTAAACATCATTTAAGGGGTTATGTTAAACATTTTGGGAAATATGCTTATTTGCTTTTTCCCCCCCCTGAGAATTGTATGAGAAGATTGATGTGAAACGTATTGAGGATTGGTGTTGTTTTCTGCTCAGGCATGATGGGACCAAACCTGGCAACCTCACGTCGATGAGAAATCAAAATGAGAGGGAGTAACGGGGTGTGACTATTTCCTGGCAAAACCAACCGGGTGCAGTGACTGTCTGCAGCTTCAGTGAAGTTGTCAGGCTTTAGTACCATCCTGTGTTTGCAGTTAATCATTCAGTTTCTTTGTCTTTATGAAAGCTAGCTATGCTAACCACATTCTGACTCCAGCACTTAACACACTGACATGATCTTGATATCTGATCTTCTCATTTCTCTCATAGAAAGAAAGCAAATGAGCACATTTCCCAATGAGTTTAAGAATCCAATGGTACATGTTGTCTTCTGTGCAATGTTAGTCAGTTTCTATAATTTAAGATACAAAAAAAACATCTCAAAAACTTAGCAGTTCAGTACCAAAGATTTAACACAGATCATGTGGATTTATTTTTAAAATGTGATTCTGGAATAACACTATGTTCACTCTCCTTTTCAACTGAAATGTGTTTAACATTCTAACTTAAAGGATGAATTTAGATTTGCTCAGTCTATCTTCAGTAAATGTATTACATTGAAAGAGTCATTGGTGGCTGTAATCATCCCTCTCTGCTTGACGGGATGTTCAGACGGGACTCGTATCTCTCGCTTTATGTCCCATCTGATGCGAGTGCAGCTTGAGTCCTGGTCTTCAGCTAGCCTTCGTCCAGTCTCTCATATATCCAGTATGGCTTGGCAGCAATAATATCCATGGTGCTGCCTTTACTCGTGATGTGAAAGTTAATGTCTGTCTGGCGTCTGTTGCACTCCTGTGTCGTCGAGCCTGTATAATCCAATCGGGCTGCTAGTGTGAGTCTTAACTGTAGAAATGTCTTGAGAGGAAATATTTATTTTATAACTAATTTATTTTTGTCACTTTAATGAGCCACATTCCTTGACTTCTGAAAAACGGTTAAACAATGTGAAGGATGTCCTGCGCTGTTTCCTGTGTCCTTAATGTCTCAAAGTAATAACATTGAATGTGCTGCTAGTAGGACAGAGTTCGTGGGACTGTAGTCATGCAAACCCAAAAAATATTCTCTGCTCTGTAACTCTCGTCCTAAGATGCACTGAATAAAAACGTAGCCTCTTCATATTTCATCTCCTGAAATCTTTCTTTTGGTGGCATTTTTTCCTGAAGATCACAAAAATGTCTTTTACAAATGAACACAAGTCAGACGCTTCAGTTGGTCATGTTTAATTCTTAAAGGGAGAAACAGAACAGCTTTTTATCAGTACAGAACACAAATCACAATCAATATCCATCCATATCTAAACATGTCTACGTGTGGAAAACATTTTCAAAGAGCAGAAGTTTGGAGGGGCAAGCAAACACCAACTGCAACCTAATACATGTGAGAATGTACACTGACCGGGACTCATGCTGTGACACACTTCATCTAGCAGTTTAGGATTAACGTTCTTCAAAGCACAAGCTAAAGATTCAAAAAGAGAAAAAAACACTCGATGCATAATTGCCAGATTTGATTATAGTTGGGCCGGAGAGAACTTCAAAAAAAAATACAACAAACAACAAAATGTCAGGAGTTAAGACTTCATTTCCGAGATAAAAATCCACCCTCCCCTCTGTCTCCCCCGCCTCCCTCCTCCTGCTGGGAGCCACGCCCCCCCCCCCCCAAAAAAAAATCGACACCCCTCCCCTCCCCA